TGAACACCCAGGGACAGAGAAGTCTCAAGCTCTTGGGAACAAATGGGAAAAAGCAAAGACTGTCCACTTCCCTGGCCTTGATGATGGCTGGGGAGTGGGTTCCTACTCATGCACAACTTCAATGTTGTCTTCTTGCGGAAAATTAGCTGACAGAATCATATCTCATTCAGGCCATGGGACTCTGAGACCAGCGCCATAAGAGATGCCTCCCAGAACACACCCAGGGTGTGGATAATCCTCTTTGGCCTACTCCAGTCATCCTTTTGAATATTTATTCCCAGTCTTTTAGGAGACACAGGGACTGGATTCTGCACTAGAAAGCTATAACAGACACATGACAATTGTCTGGTAAGGGCAAGGAACTGGTGAGGCTTGATGCTTCTGAGACATGGCATACAATTCTAAATACTAGGCCAGTGGAGCCAAGAGTGGCCCTGCTAAACCTAAAGTATCCAATACAAAATATTGGGTTGTCAGAAAAGTCATGATGCATTTTTGGAATGAAAAACATAGAAAAAATACGTCATGACTTTTCCGGCAGCCCAATAAATACTACCCTGCCCCACCATGTTGCCATAGGTGGGCAACTGAGCTGGACCTGCCACAACTTGGCATCAGTGACAGCATAAGAAACAGAGAGCCTTGTTGTTTCTTAAAGAAAGGGCCTCGCATGGCATCTCTGGGAGAGCTGCTGGGAGCCTGAGTCCCCTACTCTGCAGATCCCCAGGTGGAGGGGATAACTCCACTGTTCTTCACTCCCATTATGACAACTCCTTCTGGAACATTAGGATCAGTACAAGGGCATCTGGGGGAGGTGACAGAATGCCCATCACAGTTAGGAATGCAGGATCTTCATGTCAAAGTTTGGGGGGGAGGAGGTGCAGGGAAGGGCATGAGAGGTCTATCGTGGAGCCCCATGATCAGCTCCCATGATCAGATCGGGAGTTCTGGTGGGAACAGATGCAGAAGAGATTATATGTACATGATGATAAGTCCCTATTTCCAGGCCTTGCATGTTCTAATGTGTGTCTTCCTTTCTTTGAATCCATAACCCAAACAATGCCTAGGCACAGGAAAATCATGCTCACGGCCTTGACTCCTGGGCCACGTCCAAGTGAATTCCCCACATGCTGGCCAAGTGCATTTCACTTCAGTGTTGGGTACTTCATTTGAATCCTTAACCTGTGCATTTTTATAAAGAGAGCCCTCCAGAGGTCAGCAGAGAGCAGTCCTGTGGCCCTAACATGGAGGAACCCAGCGAGAGGTGGGAGTAGAGGTGGTGGTGGTCACGTTCTATTGGGACTGCTGAGGGACTGGATTTTGATTTGGGAGGATTTAAAATCAACAATAGGCTCAATTTAAAAAAATCACCAGTAGAAAGGGAGATGCATAGATTAAGGAATTAAGAACTTCACAACCCTGAGAAAGCAAATGTGTCTATCAAATATGAAAAAACTCAGGAGGCTTTGAAAGTAAGTCAATGCAATGGGCAAACATTGTCTGTGAGTGAGTGTGTGTGTGCATTGCCACTGAGGAAAACATTGGACTCAAGGCTTCACTGTCTTTTAATGACGTTTTGTGGGGTGTGACATCAAGAGTGCTTCCTGGCATCTCTGCTTTGATATTCCTCCCACTGGGCTGTGGAACATCTGTCTATCTCTCTAGGCTGTGAACTTTTTGAGGGCAAGAATCATGTACAAATAAAATTTATATTTACAAATCCCCCACACAGCGCCTGCTACATCATAGGTGCCAGGCAAGTGTCCAGTGGATGCAGTTGAATTATCAGCTGCCAAGTCTTTATAGGTATAAAATAAACTGAAAAGGTCTGCTTCTCTTCTTGAGAAAATGTTTGGACTGTCCTCCAATTTCTGAGGTCAAAGCAGAATCATATTCAGAATCATCTCTCTCAGCATCTGTTTTTGACTATCTGGATGAGCCCAGGTGGCTGCCATCTTTGAGGAATAGATATTGCCCCACAGGACACTTCCACCAAAACAGTCACTCCCCCAGGTGGTGGTTATGGAGCAAGAGGACAATGGACATGAGTCAGTGAGTCAGCAAAGGACAGAGGGGAAATGAACCCAGATAAAGCTTCCTGGGCAGTGGGCACTGCCTTTCTCCACTCGCCCTGTGGCCCCTTCATGCACTAACGTTCTTCAAGTCCATATGCTGGCATGGTCAGGAGACAACAGCACCAGAATCTGGCATCTCTCTGGAGTTTGCTGCTCTTCCTGCTCAGACTAGAGGCTGGATCTGTTGCTTCAGCTGCATCTTTTAAGTGTTGGAACTAAGTCAGAAATCTTACTCTGAACACCATCTCAATTTGGGAAAGTGGGTGAGTGAGAGTTGGGAACTAGGGGACGAAGGGAAGGTGTGGGTGTGCATGTACTTGGAGTGGGCAATGGGGAGATGGAAAAAGGGGATTTGCTAGGGATGGTGGGTTCTCACTATCATATCAGATCCTCTCTTTGTGAATGAGCATACTAGGAAGACATCTGGAGTAGTGGAGAGAAAGCCTAGAGATTTAGGAGGAGACGCTTCCAGGGGTGGGAACAGTGTTGGACTAAAGAGTGGAGGACAAAGGGAAACTGGATATAAAAAGAGGAGAGAGGAGAGAGGAGAGAAAGGACACATGTTACACAAAACAGAGGACCTGACTTTGAATCTGTCTGTATGAACCTCTCCAAAGCTGGCAGAATATATACTGCTAACATGCCCTCTGAGAGTGATGGGGCCAGGGCAGTCCACCTGTCAGGCTCATGTCAGTGCTGATGTCCTTTAGTCACTTGTTTCTAATTAGCAGCCTTTTCTCTGCTAGCTGTGCTACTGGAGAAAGAAGCCAGGACCAAAGGTTGCAAGTGCTGTACATTGAATTTGTAGCTTATAAGGCATGCTCTTCCATGGCCTCATTCTCCTTCCTTCCTCTTTTCCTAAACTGGGTAGAGAGACATGAGGGCATCTCAGAACTTTGCCTAGGGGGCTCAAGAAATCAGTTTCTGCAGTCAGATGCTCGCTTCACCTCTGAAGCTGAAGGAGAAGAACATTCTTGGTGTGTCCTACCTTGCTCGCCTCAGCTTGGGGCCTTGATTGAAATCCCCCATCTCAGGTTCCAGAACTGAGGAGATCATGTACACACCATGAAAGGGATTTGAGAAGCCACGGGGGTTGGAAGAGGTAAGTTATGACTAAAGCCAGGGTGGCTCCTAAGGCCAAGTGTCTGCAGTGTGTAGGATGTGCCTACACAGAAGTAAGTGAAAATGTCCTTGCGTTTCCAAAGGATTGTCCCCACTCCACAGCTGGCATTATTTGTTCACTGATAACTAAGGTTAGTCTTTCCTCAGCTAACAAATTCTAATCGTCCCATGGAAAAGAGTGCGCATACCCCTTAATCATGATTTGGTATTTTCATTGCCATAAACATCTTTAATGACATTCTACAGCTTTAACTCCTCTGGGAGCCTGAAGTGAATTATGATTTTGTTCCAAAGCTGTTCCCAGTTTCCTGGCAGCCACTCTGGTTCTCCCAGGGCTCATCTACTTCTCATTGTGTTCTGAAGGTTTCACAGTTCCTCGACCCTCTCCTATAAATAGCTTAATTTCTCTCCTTCTCTGGAGAACCAAGAGTGAGTGAGTTCTGAAAAGAATCAGAACTCTTATTATTACACACACACACACACACACACACACACACACACACACAATATTTTGTATGTGATTTGTGGGGACCTTAAAGGGGATTTGTGGATTCACTGAAGCTTATTCAGGTATCCCAGTTTAAGCTGCCTTAGTTTAAATAGAAATGTTTTTATTACTTGTTTCGAATACAAAATATGTTGGTTGGGTAGCTGTCTGTGCTCCTCAGAACTCCCTCTTTTAAAGCCTTTATAGTCTTTGGCATTGCATGTCTGCTAACAGCTGCTCATCGCTCCTTTGAGGGAGCGTGCCTGAGAGGGAAGGTGGAACACGGTGGCCCTAGGAAGTCAGATATAGGTGGCCAAGGCTGACAGAAATTATTAAAGTTTCAAATCCTGCCAAGGGTTTTCTGACATGGTTTCCAAACACAGAGGCCTTGACCAAAGCTCTGGTGGCAGCTGTGGGGATCCTGGCTCAGATTCCCCTTCAGCAGAGAGCTGGTGGTGGGAGTGCAGTCAGTAGAGGGTCACCAGCTGCAGCGTCTTCAGGACCCATCACAGTGTTCAAGGGCAGACCACTTTCTCCCCAGAGCGCCCCATCACTGACCCAGCATGAGGGGTAGCAGGCCTGGCCATTTCTGCCAGTGCAGGCCTTCTCTACAAGCACCCTTTGCACACAATTGGACCAGCGGAGACGTTCTCTGAGGCTCCTCCTGCCCGGTCCTCCCTCTTTGTTTCCTCACAGGTGTCCATTCTGAACAGTGTTGTCAGGCTTCCCCTGCCTGCTCCAGCTTCCTCCCCGCTTTACTTTTCCCAGAGACTCCCCCAGTAAATCTGTCGCACTTCTAACTCTGCCTTGGTGTCTGCTCCTGCGAGGACCTGAACGGACACAGCTTTTCTCACAGGTGGCATTATTTGTCACTTCACACAATCCCCCCTTACCTTCCCAGATCCCCACCTGGAAATAGTCCCCACATCTTTTTTTTTTAAGATTTTTATTGGGGAATTGGGGGGAGGGGAACAGCACTGGGGAATTGGGGGAAGGGGAACAGAAAAGTTGCTGTCCTTTTGTTCCTCAGTCTAGTTGTGGAGGACGACATGTCACCGGCCCAAGTTGGCACCATCATTGCGCTCTTCCCGGGCGAGGCAGATCAGTCACTGGCTTCTGGACGGCTGCTCATGGCGGCCGCTGGCCACTCACGTTGGCTGCTGGCTACACACGGTAGCCCATGGCAACCCACTGCCACAGGGACTGCAGCCTACGCCGTCGCCAGCAACCCACAGCAGCCCAGTTCCAGGTTGAGCTGTTGCTCAGCATCTTAGCTGTGGAGGGCAGTGTCACTGGCCCTCATATGTGGGATCCGAACCAGGGTCCTCTGGTGTCCCAAGCCAGCTCTTAACCATTGCGCCACTCGGCCGGCCCAGTCCCCACATCTTGCTAACTCATTTTGTCATAGCGTTAGCAGTTTGCTGAGTGTTGGGTTCCATTCTTTTGACTATGCAAATTAATAGGGTTCATAGTACTACCCCATTCAGCCTCCTGTAGGGTGCTGAGGTTCCCTGGTGATGAGACAGAGGTGTTAGATCATCAAACACACACTTTATTTCTGTATGGAAATTCTTTCCAAGATCCCAGGCTGGAAAACAAACGTCAGGGATGACCTGGCTCCACTTACAGGATTCTTCCTGAGAGCCAGGTCGATGATGTCAGATCCCCTTTTCCCAGGAGCCTCCTCAGTCTTTCCAAGGGAAAGGACATCCCAGCACGTCTTAGCATCCCGGTGTGGATGGGGAGGAGGGCTAGGACTCCTGCCCTTTAGTTCCTCCCATAAAGGCCCCCCTCCCCACCCCTCGATTACTGTAGTCCCACTGTGAGTTCACAATATACATCAGCTCCTCTCTGTGAAAGAATGAGGAGGAGGAGGAGAGATTGGCACAATGCAGAAAACACACTGACAGCAACTGGATCCCCTATTTTGGAAGTAACATGACAAAGATTGGCCCCATGGTGTCTTATATCCTGTTACGACTGAACAGGACACCATAGAAAACCACTTAGGAGATAAACACAAGGTAACACGTTTCTGTAGGAATGAGACCCATGCACAGTGCAAATCATGGTGTTTCTTACACATGGGAGCTGATGACATTTTTATAAGTTACATGGGTGTTGGGGAGTGGGTCAGAGGAAGGCTTGCTGGGCTTGCTCAGAGGGGATGTTCTACTGTATTTGAAACTGCCCAGTACCATCCCACACTCCCTGTAATTATCCGCAGTGACAATGCTGTCCAGTCACATCCCACTAGGTCCCCTGGACTGACTGGTGGCTCCCTTTGGAATTGTCTCAGAGAACGCTCACTGGAAAAGGCTCTCTGAAGGTCTTAGTTCTTGGGTCGATTACCCGTGTTGAATGTGGGTCTTTAGACTCCTGGGGAAAATGTGCTTCTCTACTACCCCCATGCCTGCTGCCCGGCCTGGACCCACTGGGACCGGTGAGTTACCAAGGGCCAGTCCAGTAGGCTCCTTAGGAGCAGAAGGAGCTGTGTGTCCCCAGCTCAGGGATAAGTCCAGAGCAGGTAGTCAGTGATCCTTGTTGAATTCAACTCTAATCTCTTCCATAGAGAGGTTGTCTCCAAGTTCTTGACAGTTTCTTCTTAGGTCCTTGTCATAATCATGCTAGTTCTTTATATCCCACTGAAGTGAATCATCCACACATGGCATGATTCCTCATTGGAAGCATGACTGTTGCTCTCGCCACTGACTTTTGTTGTCCCTAAATTATGTCTTCCATGCATGTATCTGCATTGAGCTGGCTTTACTAAATTTATTTAATCTTTCCCATGAGGCTTTGCAGAGTATGGTTCTTGGGTCTTTCTGGCTTATACTGTTGCTATACAACTCCCTTAGGCCTGCCCATGCTTTCATAGGGTTAGAGCCAGCTGGGCTGGGAAAAGCTGTCAACCCTGTGGGAAGCATCGCTCTCCATCCACACGTGGATACAGCGCAAGTGCAGCCATTTTTCAAACCACGAGGGTGGCCATCATTCATGTTACACGAGGCTTCTGCTTTCAGCCACATCTGGATGAAGCACAGATCTGGGAGACAAAAAGGAACTGCATGCTCACCTGCTGGAATCCCCAAAGCGGTACTGGGACATGAAGCATTAAGTTCATGGTTCTCAGTAGATGGACTGTTCTGTAGGGTTGGTGTGTTGTCCCACCTCTTACAGACAGGCCAGCAAAGCCATGGGGGTGGGGGGTGGACAGGAAGGGGAGATGCAGAGAGGCTGAAGGGAAGGTGTAAGGTAGGCTCTTCCCAGAGGTGCTGCTGCAGTGTGCAACCCCTTTGCTCATTGGGCATTTGAACATATGCCTGGTGTTAGAGCAACGCTACGACTCTGGGTCAGTGCCCCTGTCCTAAGATACCCAAAAGGCCAAAGCAGAGGCCTACAAGTTTGTTTACCTGATGGCATCTCCAGCTGCAGGCTTGGCCTGCTAAAGCCTGATGGAGAGATGCGGCTTTGACAGCAAGTCTTCAGCTCTGTCAAAGGCCAAAACCTTCCAGGAGAAAAAAAGTACTCACATTTTAGGATAAATCAGAGAATGTCTGCTATGGGTATTGACACATAGCAGTTACTACTTCCCCAGGACCTGGGTATCAAGTCACTAGACTCTCTGTTCCTACTCTTTCTGATATCACCATATTTTGGTGAAACAAAGAGAAAACTCATACAATCATTGAACCATTGAATGTCAAAATTTGAAGGGACACTTAGATGATCCAGTTCAGCCCCATAGTTTTACAAATAAGGAAAAAGAGGCTCAGACAGATTAAGTATGGTACAGCTCTCCTGCCTCTTGGTCCATGACAGACATTAGCTGGTATCAGTGGACATATTCTGCCTGCATCAGTTGCTCAGGATAGTCACTGGGGATGTGACACAGATGAATCTGCAACTCTCAATTTTGTGATGTTTAAATGCCCTAAAATATAGAGATGTCAAAAAGGGGCAGACTTTTTCTTCCTTTCATGGGTGCTTGGAAGACGGGGTTAAATCTTTCATTCAGATTTTGTGTTGGTTCCTTCTTTTGTTCACCCTATCAAGAGAAGGTGCCAACTAGCTAAAGGAGCGGGATCTGTGCATGACTGAGGATGACTTTATTGAAGTAAGACAGAGGCTGGATTTGTTGTTGTATTACAGGATTCTTCCTGAAATGAGTGCTCACATGCAACTAAAATTCATTGTAGAATCATGGCATGGATTGAGGAGAAAATTGTGTCCAACTTTCCCATTTTACAGGCTCAGAGAAGTTTGATGATTTGCCTTGGGCCACATAGCATGGGGGTGGCAGAAACATGGAAGAATCTAGGTGTTTTTTTTTTACTCTGGGATGGAATGTGTTTCCTAAACCATTCTGACCCTTTTCATAAGCTGCAATGTTAGGGTGTTTCTGATGGTTTCTGGGTCAAGGAATGCATGAAAGGAAGCAAGACAAAAACGATGGTGGCTGCCCCTGCTGAAGGCCCTGGGGTCTAGGAGAGCATGTTAGAGTAGAAGCTGAAGCTCTCTGTCATGGTCTTGGAGTTGCTGCGAGAGGAGCCGTTGGAGGTCAGGTCCAGGGAAGAGGGTGTAGCCTTGGGGCCATCCTCCAGCTCCTCCTCGTGGTTCCCCACCACTGTGGAGACAGTGGTCTCCAGGCGGCTGACTTTATACACGCTACCCTGGGTCTGGAGGTAGCGGGTGGATTTCATTTCGAGCCCCTCGTAGTCACCGGCACTGATAAAAGGGCAGCATCGGAAGGCATGCTTGAAGCCCACCCGGAACCTGGAGAGAGAGCAGATGGAGAGGTGACCCAGTGGGACAGCCTGCTTTCAGAGTGTGTACCCACCATTGCATTAGCTATGGACATACCCAAGTGTGACTCTAGTGTTATTATATTTTAAATTAATTGAGAAATGGAGACACTAAGGCCAAAAAGATTGAAAGGTCAGATATTAAGGTCAAACCCAGGATTAGAACCTAGGTTCAGGTGAAACATGTCTTTACTGAGGGCAGCCACTGAACTATGCTGCTTCCACTGGTACAGGGTCAGCCGGCTGTGGGTCAGCTCAATATCAACCAAAACATCACCAAGGGTTTACTATGTGCACGATACTGTGCTAGTCACTGGGTGGTAAAAACATATGACAAGAGTCAGTCCTCTTCTTCAAGTAGCTCACTGCGTGAAGGATGACTTTCTGCCAATCATGTTCCTTCAGTATGTCTCTCTCTCGATCTGACTCTCTCACACTGACTCTGTCTCTCTCCATGCACAGCCCCCTGTGCCCTGGATCTATAGGGCAGGGTGAACGAATTCACAGGCTGCAAACCAGACCCAGCTAGTGGACCTGCTTTATATACATCAATCACAGAGATATTTTTATCTGCACCCCACTCCCACTGACTTAGTTGACAGTGTTTAAAAGTCAGAAGATATCACACAAAAATGTGGATTTCTGGTTCCTCTTGGGAAAGAAAAAAATACGTGTACTCTGGGCTTATATTCCTGCATGGTGATAATCAGCAGGGGTTGAGTCATGTGATTGATAGTTTGCTGCAGTCCTCACCACTCCCTGTTGTCTCACAGCCAGCTTTGCTCATTTAGGTTGGCTGCTTGGTGACTATACAGACAGATGATCTTGGGGCCCCTGAAGAGAGTATGAGGGATGGGGTCCTCACCTGTCATTGAGGCAGCAGTAGATGATAGGGTTATACATGGTAGAACTCATGGCCAGCCACATGACGGCCAGGTAGACCTGCTGAATAAACTTCTTCACATAGAGATCTGGTTTGATGTAGGGCAGGATGAAGAAGATGTGGAAGGGCAGCCAGCAGATGGCAAAAGTGCACACCACGACGATCATCATCTTGACCACCTGGCAAGAGGTTGTGACAGGTGAGATCACCACCGTGTCCTTTTTCTCATGGCTACTTTCTCTCATCTCCTGTCCCCTCACTGCATCAGTGCACTAAGGGGTGGGAAGTATTTATAATAACACCTTTTGAGGAGGAAGAAGGACCTTTTATACGTGGTACTGAATGACTTGAGTTTTGTGGGTGGTTCTCAGAGTGTGGCCCCAGGAACAGCATCATCATTCTCACTTGGGACCTTGTCAGAAATGCAAATTCTTGGACCCCTCCCCGACTTACTGAATCAGAAACTTTGAGGGTGGGACCCAGAATACTGTGTTTGACAAGCTCTTCCAATGATTTTGATGCACACTCTTGTTTGAGAACCACCATGTTATATCATCTTTCTGGACAATGACTGGAGAAGCCCTGGGAGACCAGATTAATGAGACAAGGGGAACGGGTGTTTAGGAGGGAAAGACCCAGGAAGGAGGGAAACACCAGATAGGGAGAGGCCTTGAGCTAGGGCAGACTCCCTGCTTGGTCTCAGCAGGACGGAAGGAGAAGGGGCAGGATTTGGCCAGCTGCAACAAGGGAGCATCAGATGTTTAAAGGGGATTTACAAGGTTTTATGAACACTGGGTGATGTAGCCCCTTCCCTCATATCCCCAATACATCAGTGAAGAACGACCTCGTGTCTACACAATGAAATACGATGCAAAGAGTTATCAAAAGGAAAAAGAAAAGAATGAGAAAGCTATTTATGTATTAATTTTTGAAGGTCTTGCAGATATTTTTAAGTGAAAAAAGTAAAAGCCAGAAAGTATGTACTTACTATTTGTGTAAAAAAGAACAAAAAGCTAATTTATGTTTATTCGTCTTACAAATGAATTACAATATTTGGAAGGGTTAATAACAGTGGTTACCATAGTAAATGTGCACATGCATTTGGGAGCTGGGTAGATGGAGGACCTAAAAGGAGGAAGCCTTTTCTTAGTAAGACTCTTAATATATTTTTCTTAACTTTTCATTTTGAAATAATTGAAAACTCCCAGGAAGTTGCAAAAATAGTACAGAGAGTTTGCAGTTTCCTCCAGTGATGTCATCTTACGTAACTATATCACATGATCAAAACCAGGACCCGGCATTAATGCAGTGCTAGGAACTGAACTACAGGCTCTATTTTGATTTTGCCAGTTTTTACACATGCTCAGTTTTGGGGGGTATAGTTCTGTGAAATTTTATTGCATGCATAGATGAGTGAAAACACTACCACAATCAGGATACAGAGCTGCTCCATCACCACAAAGAAACACATGCTGTCCCTTTCTAGGCAGACCTTCCCTCCACCCCTGCAAAAAATCATATAGTGGTGATCTGTCCTCCACCACTATAATGTTGTTCCTTCCTTTTCATATTTTTTGATGTTTGAACCAAGTGAATATATTATTTTTGCCAAACTTTAAATAAATAATAAAAAGAGGACTGAATAACACTTCAGTGCTTTCGTAGTTAAGTGTGTGTGTGTGTGTGTGTGTGTGTGTGTGTGTGCGCGCGCGCGCGTGTGTGCGTGTGTGTGTGTGTGTGTGTGTGTGTTTTAATGCCTTGACAGGTTGCAATTACTCTTAAGGTGAGACCAAGATGGCTCATGCCTGTACAGGCAGGCCTAGGTTAGAAATCCATTGAAGAAAGAGCCCCTCCCCTCCCCTCCTGTTCCCTCTGCTGTCCCCAGACATGTTTTGTGCCCACTGCCTTTGAGTCTCCTGAGGTTCTGGGGCCCATATGCTTGCCAGCCTTTAACCTGTGCTGGGGGCGGGGTGGTGGTGGTGTGTAGGTGTTACCTGTCTTTTGCTCACCTTGCGCTTGGCAGAGACCTGCTCATGGTAACGATCAGAGGAGTCCCCAGGTATCTCGCTGGCCCACAGTGTGATTCCTACTACGGTGTATGCATAGCCAATCACCAGCAGGGGGAGGAAGTAGATCAGCACCGGCAAGGTCATGTGGTACCTGCAACAAGGTGGATGGGAGGGGTCAGTCTAAGAAATAACAGGGTGGTCATGCCTTGACAGCTGCCTTTCTCAGCATTTGCTATGAATAACCTTGGATGATATGGCACATCCCAAAGAGGCTAGCCAGGGAGTATATTAATTGATGAACTAGAGAAGCAAATCTCTTCAATTTATATTTTTCTTGTGGACTTTTTCCATAATGGAGGTTTCTGTACGGATTGAAAAGAGAAGAATAAACATTGGTGAGAGGGAGCTGAATCCATTGTATACCTATAGCAATTTTATTTGATGTTAAGTTCAATATTGCTGACACTTTCCAAAAAAAAAAAAGAAAAGAAAAGCAATCAGGCTTCACTAATAGAAGTGTAGTCTCTAGAATGAAGGAGGTGATTGTACCACTCAGTTCATACCTTTTGGATTCCACTTAGGCTCAGTTTTGGTGCAGGGATGTAGACCAACTACTACATTCAGATGAGAACTGCCACAATGGTTGATGAGCCCTAACCCATTCTATATGATAAATGAATTCACAGATACAAGAATAATTACCTTGGAGGAGAGAGATAAGACTCAGCCTAGTCTACCATCAGTAGGAGAAAGCTATTGAAAGTGTAAGCTATTTCTAAGTCTGATTCTTAAAAATACACCTCCAGATGGAATCTGTCTGGGTCTCTGAGTCACCACTTAGAGTACAGATACCAACTGACTTGAGTTTGACTGGGACATGAGCAAGAAATAGCCCTTTGCAGTGTTAAATCACTGAGATTTTAGAGGTTTGCTACAAGAGCATCACTTATCCTATTCTGTTTAAGGCAAGGCCCTTTCAGCGTAGGACATTCAAAAAGTTTTGAATTTTGAGAAAGAATAATTTTCTCTGGGGTTCCTTGGCATGTCTGGCTAGTTATAGCCCTTTCCCCTGATGTGAATTTAATGGAGAGGTTCAGCAGTTTCAATAGTAATAATAACAGTAATAAGAACAGCTAATACTTTGGGGAGTTTACTCTAGGTCACTGTGCTAATAATAGTGTCAATGAAAGTATTCGTAGCAGAAGTGGGAGTTAGAGCTCACTGAGTGACCAGCAAAACCCCAAGCACTTCACTAGCATTATCTTATTTAGTCCTGCTGTTATAAACAAATGATTGGGCAGGTACTATCATGATCCCATTTTGTAGAGGAGGAAACTGAAGTTTAGAATTTAATTAACTTGCCTAAGTTTGCAGCTGGTAAAAAGAGGGGCTGGGAGTAGAACACAGACCCCAACCAGCTTCTTGTCACTGGAGGAACGTCACCCAATGATGTGTTCTTCCCTTCTGTTTATGCTTACTCCTCACAGAGACTTTTTCCCAATAAGGAAAACCCACTTATTCAGTCAACTTCTCCTTTATCGATGCTCTGTTTGTTCTCAACCACTTCTTTGCAAAGCCTCACAATTTAATATTCAAAGCCTCCTCTGAATATTTAAATTTGCAACTTGAAGACACTTCAAGAGTGTTTAAGTAAGGAACCACAGATTCAGCAAAGCAGGGAGCTGAACGCATCCATTCTGTGCAGACAGGCTGCTCCAGCCTCACCAGGCTTTCAAGGTTCCCCTGGATTGTCACCTCCTCCGGGAGCCTCTGGGTTATCTGGGCACCATGGCAGTCACTGCACACGGTGTTTTTAACCTGATCTCAGCCCCCTTCCTGATTTCTGTAGATACCATTTGCAATCAAAGCAGTAGTTATGGGGGCAGGGAGACCCTGAGAACCTCCAGGCTGTATCTACTTCTCCTACCTGTAAGAACAGCCTTACCTTATGCAGACTGATATTTGTTTGGCAATAAAACATATTAGCTGAGCTTAGCAGGGCCACTACCTCAGAGCACTCAGCACCCATGTTGGAGTCAGGGATGTGGTGGAAGGATACTATAGGCAAGCCACCTCTGCTCCTTCCCCTGAACCAGTGTCTTGAACTTGACACAGCTTTAGAATCACCTAGTGAGCTTGTACAAACACAAGGGGCTGGACCATACCCAGAGTTTCTGACTTAGCAGGTCTAGGGTGGGGCCTGAGAATCTGCATTTATAACAAGTTCCCAGATGATGCCCTTGTTGCTGGTCCAGGTTCAGACTTTGAGAAACACTGTCCTACTGAGACCCAGCATCACATGAGACTCACTGGGGGAACTTTAAAAATATCCAGTGCCCAGAGATACTCATTTAATTGGCTTGAGTGTGGAAGGAGGAAACCATATTTTAGAAAATTCCCCAAGTGATGGGGAAGGGAATTGGGGGGTTGATGAAAAAGGGGAAGGGATTAAGAAGTGCAAATTGGTAGTTACAAAATAGTCATGGGGTGTAAAGTACAGCATAGGGAATATAGTCGATAATATGGTAATCACTATGTATAGTTCCAGGTGGGTACTAGAGTAGTCAGAGGGATCACTTCTTAAATTATACAAATGTCTAACCACTATGCTGTCCACCTGAAATTAATATAAAATAATATTGAAAGTCAACTGTAGTTAAAAATTTTAAAAAGGAGGGAAAAGGTGAAGGGGAATAAGAGGTCCAAATTTCCAGGTAGAAAACAAATATGTCCTGGGGATGTAATGTACAGCATGGGGAATATAGTTAATTATATTGTATGGTATGGTGTCAGATGTTGCTGGGCTTACCATAGTGATCAGTTCTTTAGGTATATAAATGTTGAAAAACTATGGTGTACACCTGGAACTAATATAATGTTGTACGTTAGCTACATTTTAATAAAGATCTTTAAAAAAGAGAAAATTCCCCAAGTTATTCTGGTATACAGCTAGCATTGCGAACTGCTGTTTCAGATCCAAGGCCTGAAGTCTAAAGCCTGTTGGGACCCCACTGTTTGAGATTTTATTACTTCACTAACATGGGTATTACCCTTGTTTTCTAGTTTCTGTGTCTGATGCTTGAACAACTCCCCAGACTAGCTATTTCCTACAGACAACTCCTGCTAGTGTGTCTTTCATACTCAAACTAACTAATCCAACGCCCATGGCAGCACTATTCACAATAGGCAAAAGGTGGAAACAACCTAGATGTCCCTCACTAGATGAATGGATAAACCAAATGTGGTCTATACATACAGTGGAATATTATTCAGCCTTCAAAAGAATGAAGTTCTGTTACCTACTACAAGATGAATGAACCTTTGCTAACATTACGCCAAGTGAATAAGTCAAACACAAAAGGACAAATATTGTATGATTCCACTTACATGAGGTACCTAGAATAGGCAAATTCACAGAGACAGAATGTAGATTAGAGGTCACCAGGTACTGGAGGAAGGTGGTGGGAGTTAATAGGCACAGAATCTGGGCTGATGAAAAAGTTCTGGAAATGGATAGTGGTGATGGTTGCACAATATTGTGAAGGTAAAATGGTAAACTTTATAATAGTATGTATATTTATCACAATAAAAGAATTTAATAAAAGATAACATTTTTAGTTGCTTTGGGTCTCCCAATTTGCAGTCTTCTGTTCCTTCTAGGCACTCCTCGGACAACCTCCACCTCCAAAATAATAAAACAAACAAATAAGCAAACAAACAGCCTCACAGATTTGATCCTTGGACAGGATAAAAAACTAAGGACATCCTCCTAAATCTTGCTCAGATAAACCCCTTTTACAAAGAAATTTCAAACACGCTATCCAAACAACGTCCAAATTGTTCCAAATAATTGTAGGTCAAATGAGTGAAAGTCCATCGTTAAAAAATTTGAAAATGAATACATTTCTTCCACCCTGACACTCCTTGGGAGAAATTTTACCATATTCTTGTAGTTAATTGGAAGTAACTCTGTTCTTTTATTTTGTGCCAAAATCATTATTTTAGAGAGCTGGTCAATGAACCTAGTGTACTCTTATTTTGTGCAGCTCCATGCTTTTTTTGGCTTTCAAATCTGATATTCTCTAGGTTCCTGCCAGGCAGGATTTTATCCATTCTCAGAATTAATATCTGCCTTGGGAGAAGAGACCAGGAGTCAGGAGCATGCCAGAAGTGAGCAAGAGAAAGCATCTGGGGTGACTGCAAGGGAGGGCGACAGAAAGGACCACTTGGTTCCCACTTGATGAGACATGCACTGACTTTGATCATTAAATCCTGCCAATGGACTTATCAGTACTTTCAGAAGGAAGGTGCGTGAAAGAGCTTTATCTTTGTTCCCTCCATTTCACTCCTCTAAGCAGTGAAAGGGGCTTGACACATTTTACAGGATAAACTTGCTGAATACAGACAGTGTAGCCCCAAATCCTGCCGATTCCCCATCCTTAACGCCTTAATACCATAATGCTCACTAATCCAGGTTCACTTAGGGTTCACTAGCAGGAGTCAACTCATTGTCCAAACATCAACAGTTCCAGTTTCTAAAATAATCCTCAGCATTTGAAGTGAAGATAGGTAGGTTTAGTAAATAGTACTTAGGGGGTCTTCTAATAAACTTCACAGAGGCTCTAGTGCTGTGGGGTGGGGGGAAAAGGAGGTCAGGAGGGCGGGGCTCTGGGGTCTCCACCTTTACTCTATGCGATAGCTCTGCTTTGCTGGGTTTATATGTTGACTTTCTGTGGATGATTTTGTTTGGTGATAGTGGTGGAAGATTTCAGCTGTTATAGAGAGGCTGAAGAGCATTGATGTAATCCCAGTCCCCATTCAGTGCATAAGCTGTCTCGGCAATACCCATGCCTCATCATCGTCCATCTTTTTCTTGAATATCCCCTGTGACATGCTGCCAACTAGCAATAAAACCAGCTCCATTAGGGACACCTTGCAGTTTGTTAGAGATGCAGACGCTCAGGCCCCGCCCTGATGGATCAAATCCATGTTAGATTGTGCATGCTAACAACCTGGTGATTCATGTGCAAGTTCAAGTGCGAAGCATACAGCTCTCAATTTTGACTGCACCTTGAGATCACCTAGGGAGCATTGGAAAGTTCCAATGCATGGATCCCACCATAGAGCTCCTGAATCAAAATTGATCTGCAG